GAAAGCTGCATGGAGTCTTGATCTTGAGTGTGGGTGGAACGCCCTCAATCAGCGGCAGGCTGACCTTGCAAAGAAATTGCAGGGCCACATTCGCCCCCGCTTCATGATGGCAAGCCCACCCTGTACCATGTACAGTCCACTCATGAGGCTATGGAACTTTCGCAAGATGCAGCCAGCTGTGAGGAAGAGACGGCAGGGTGAGGCCCACTCCATGGTTGACACGGCCGTTGACCGGTGCCTGGAACAGCGTGACCGTGGTGATCTCTTTGCATTTGAGCACCCGGCAAACGCATCCAGCTGGAGGCAGCACAGGAAGCTGGCCAAGGCCAGGAAGACAAAGAATACTTACGAGGTTCTTTTTGACCAGTGTGCAGTGGGGCTTCGGTCACCAAGCGGTAAGCCAATGAAGAAGCGGACCAGGCTTTGGACCAATTCACTGGCCATGGTCCGCCGCTTCAAGGTCATGCAGTGCAAGTGCCAACAGCCACACAAGCGGATTTGCGGGTCAGAGATGGGCTACAAGCTCAGCAAATGGGCTCAGTGCTACCCAAAGAAGATGGTCAATACTCTTCTCTTGGGCGCCAAGGACGACATGTCAAAGTGAAGCAGTAGCAGCGCCTCTTTCGGAAATTTGATTTGAACAGGCCAGGTTCTTTGGCTTGGTTTGTTTCATTCAGCCCAATTCACGAAGCTAGACACGGTTGTGGCCAAACCAGCTGGCCATAATTGTCAAGTCGACCATGCAATGGGGAAGCGGACCATAAAGGGGGCTTAAAGGGCTTGTTTTTGGTGTCACTGTTTTCTTGAATTATGCTGAGAAACATGAGAGTGATGACAGTCAGGATTCGATAGGTTCTTAACTAGTTGGAATGTCAGCAGCTGACCCAGCGTCTAAAGAACATTTTCTTTCATTTCCTGTGTTGTAGAATTTCCTGGAGAGGCTGAGAGGGAATGCGTGTTTGCTTCTATAGATGTTCTGCAAATGGCCTGAAACACTTTTAGATGGCTTTTTGTGAGTTCTGTTAGGCCTGTTAGTGTCACCGTTGATTGGAGTCTCTGTAGAAAATCTTAGGTGTTGTCTAGACTCAGTGTGAATGGTATATGTTCTAGCCCTCTGGCGTTTGTCGGCGTGGCTCAGCACATATTGAATTCTTTCTTAAAAATAATCTTAAAAAGAATGAGATCGCGAACCCTAAACCCTAAACGTTGTCAGCATTCACACGGCGGCAGCGGATAGGGACCCAGTATCACATGATTTCTTCAAGCGATTGGTAGTGAGTGTCCCCCCAACAATCGCTCGAATCTGAACACATCCGAGCGATAATCTGTGAGTGGGAGTTCTGATGGGGACGGACACCTACAAAAATCCTAGCGAAGTTGCAGGCCCAAAAACCATGTTGGCACAATCGCTTGAAGACAATTGTCTTCAAGCGATCTTGGCCAAATCAGCCACTCAACCTAGAGAAATTGGTTTGTTCTCAAGCTCCTTATTTCTATTGATTTTAGCTTTTGGGGCCAGCACTGCTTCAACGCAATTGTCTTGAAGCGATCTCAGGACTTTAGATTCTGACACCCCTGGTTGCTTACCTTTAACTTTTGCCCATGCCAAGCTCCCAGACCTATGTGTGCCAAGGCCTGGGCCTCACCTTCGACCACATGACCAAAGAGCGCACAGGCAGCATCCTTTTGGCCACCCAACGCCAAGTGGTTGACTTGTTGAGTGCTCTGCAGGAGTGTCCGGTTTTCCATTCAATGTTTATGATGCTTGGTCCGAATCCATGTGATATCTAAAGTTTACCTTCCTATTCTGTGTAGGCCTGAAAAAGGTGGCTTTAAAGGTCGACTGTATTCTGCAAAAATGAATGGAGTGAACTACTTCTCTGTTCAGCTAGCTACTGTGTTGCCTCACACTGGCGCCAGGCGAAATCTTCTTGCTACCTCGGGGCAGTCAGGGTCACAGCAGTGAAGCAGTGGCAGGGTTGGGAGTGTGAGGATCAGCTTGAGGTTGTGAGGTTTCATGGAACATAGGTCCAAGTGTTTCAGAACTTCAGAACTCATGACGGCTGAAACATGTTTGTTGACTTCTGAATCTCCATGCTGCTGTCTAGAGTTCTGAGTGTTGAGGGCATTGTCTGATGCCCACTTGCGATTTGTGCCATGAACGATAACGCGCCGATGGAACTTGATGGGGGCGAGCCACCAGAGCCACCAGTGTTTGTTCCTTTCCAAGGCCCTGCTGAGAGCATTGCTGACTCTGGTTGTCAGTCTGTGGAAGACCAATGGCAACTTCACTCTACTGCTGTGAAGGGAGATCTGGACAAGTTCTGCAATAAGGTCCAGGCAGGTGTCCAGGAGGTTCTCGCCAAATATGGTGGCCCAGATGCCTTCCTCCGAGCTCGATTTGGGGAAAAGCGGGAGCTCCAAGGTTGGCTAGACTTTCTTGACACTTTGCAAGACTCGTCCGTGGCAAACTACAGTCTGGATTGTTCATTGCCTGTCAGCAATGTCCAAGAGTGGAGCAAGGTGTGGTTTTCTTTCATCTTGACCGCGACTTTCACAGGGTATCGCTAAATGTAAATAAATAAATATTTGTATATATATTTATATAAATAAAAATATATGTTTATGAGTGACAGTAAATATCAACAATCCTGGCATAAACACAACCGAATATATTGAATCAGTGTCAGCCACTATGCAACAATCTGTGGGTCTGGTTTTCAGTGTGAACTTGCCCTAGTTCAGATTCAACATCCTTCCACAGCCTTTGCTGCCATCTCCCTGAGGGTCAACTGCTCAATTTGCACTTGGGAACCCTTTCCTTCTCGAGAGCAGCAAGCATCCGCGGGCCTCCTGAGCATGACACAGTTCGCCTACTTGTGGATGAAATCTTGTTGGACGGCTTCGTGACACAGGGGGGAGCCGCTGTTGGTGACTCAACCTGCAGACCTGCTGGCTGAGTTGACTGAGGTTGGTTTGCAAACGCTTAAGCTGACATTTTTTGGAAGAAAGCAGGGGGCCTCCACGAAAACTGACCCCCAAATCGCCGGTGGAAACGGACCCCATCAACTCTGGGTTTTCTTCCTTCACTCTTCCTTCAAAATGCAACTTCCTGGGGTCTGTTTGAGGGCCCAATCGGCCTGTGTTTGGTTGCTGGCTGACCCAATTGGATTTTCTTTGTGAAAATATTGGAGAGCACCAACGCAAACATAGTCTATTGTTGGATGGGGTGGTTCGCGCCAACCTTTCACCAACAGGAGAAACTCAGGGCTCCTTGGAAATCAATCCCTTTCGCCAAGATGGAGCCTTTCACCGTTGGGTATTTCAAGGGGCGAACGCGAGCGATGACTCTCCTTTGCATCTTAGCCATCATCCATGACCTTCCTGAGCGAGTGAACCTGGCCGAGGCAGGATTGCCTTTTCCTTTTGACCATGCCACATGATAGAAAGACCGCCGCAAGTCTAAGTTCAGATACTATGTATGGTAATTTGTCACCAAGGACATTTCTTTGCAACAAACGGTTTTCCATAGATATTGATTTGGCCTGTAAAATGAACTCACTCTGAGAAAGGTTTTCTCACAAGTTCCAAACCCTGCCTGGTGCTTAACTATGGCTTTGCGAGGTTCATCCCAAGCTTCGCAAGAGCCTCCAGTGGATTTGCGCGTACCGGGTGCAGCTGCCGTCCAAGAAAGATGAACTTCTTGGCAATTTTAAATTGTCTGTGAGGGGTTCCATCCGAAAGGCTCCGAATGTCGTGTCCAGAACTTAGTGGAAGTTGAAGCGCAGAAATCAGTCTAGTCCCAGCTCAGCAGGAGAAAAGAACTGAACATTGAAATGAAAGTTAAATCACGGCTGAGGGTTTCCATTGTTCAGGACTTGGATTTCCAGCATTGTGCAACTCCAATCCCACGACACCTCCTTCGATGTCGCTGCATTCGAACCTCAGTGGCGTTTCGCAACCTCTTTAATTAACAAAAGGAAAGCTTTTTCCCCAAGCCCTTCAGTGTAATTAGAAAGGTTCTCCTTGTGGGTGACCTGGCTATGGACTTCAACCCAGGTGAGAGATCACAGTGCCAATTGCTCACGGGCAGGGCAATTGTTGGGCAGCAAAGCCCAAGCTGTCAAGAACATTCTCAACTCCTTGCCCAAGAAAGTGTTGACCTTGATTGTGGATTACACGATTGAAGTGGGCTGGGAGCGGACTCCATGGTCTGATGACTGTCTTGGCTCCAAAAAATGGTTGCCAGGATTTCAGCCTTTCGGCCAATCATTGAAAAGATGTTTTTCTTATGGAGGGATAGGTTGTGGTCTATATGCTTTCTCAAGTAGAGGGACATGGTATCGGTGGAAGGGAAATGTAACTGAGGTAACAAATGTTTGAGACATAAGCACCGTGAGGTTTCGGAGCAATGCTGGGGCAGTTTGGGCCGCGCGTGGAAAGGTTAGCGATGAAAGTGCAGAGATCTTCGTGGATTGGCTGAGCTAATAACTTGTGGTCATTGTGTGTTTCAACATTTTAAACATTTCTTTCTGAACAGTTCTTGTTGGCCTCCTCTTTCAGGGCCTTCAAAGAGCAACAGGTTTTCCACTTATTGAGAGGTGGGGGTTTGGCCTCCTTTGAGTTTGGAGGTGATGGCGCTCATTGCCCAGAACCGCAAGATGCCATCCAATTTGAGCCAGAAGGTTTTGAGGGCACAATGGGACCGTTTGGCAGAGGAATCCGCTTGTGTTTCAGCAATGGGCCATGAAGTCCAGGGCCTGCTGCCAGTGGATGACACCGCGTTGCACACCTCGTGGCATGACCTTTTCATTGTGGGCGATCAGAAGATCTGTGTGGAGATTCAGAGTGCAATTCTTTCTCGGACCAACTCAATCCGGGATATCCCCAGCTTGCGCCAGTTGATCACCGAGCATGCTTCGAAGTGCCCTTTGCCTGCCACCAAGAGCGTGGCCACTATGCATCAGCTTGAGAAGGATCAATTCGAGCTTGTTGTCAAACAGATCGAGTATGACTTGCAGGCCTTGCGTGTTGCCAAGTCCAAGCGAAGCACTTGGGAGAATTCCATCTACCACATCAAGCTCCAGCACAAATTGGATCAACATCGTGCTGCGAGCTGGTTCATGCAGAACTATGTCTGCATTGTCCACGGCGACGACTGTGATGACATCATGCGGAAGTTCCAACTTCACAGGAGTGAAACAATCAACCGATTGCGCTTGGACAGTCGAGCCTGTGCTCTTTGGCTATTCTTTGAACTATTTTCTGCTTTGCCAAGAAGTTTTCTTTTGATGCCTTTTTGTGTTGTGTGAGTCCCCTGGCCCGAGGCAAACTTTGTTTTTGTGAATTGGCTGGCTCCCTGCACCATCAAGAACTCGATGATGAGCGCCCAAGCTTCATTTGTTGCTGCTTGCATCATGGGAGACCCTAGCAACTTTGGGGCGGCCTTGCTTCCCATCTTTTCTTACAAGAAGGGGCAGCTTTGGATGGTGGAGGCAGCCGCTGTGAAGTCATTGGCCATGACCGGGTTGAATGTCGACCACTGCTGGAACATGTGCTTCACCAAGAAGGCCTGGGCTTACCAAATTGGGGCTGTTTCTGGAT